TTTTCCAACACTGTATTTATTTTTATCATAACAAATAGACTGCGATTACCTGACGGGGGAAAAATATTGAGTTAACGTGCACATTAATTTTAAAAAAAAAAAAAAAAAACCAAGCAAATTTACTTCTAAAGAAATTGCTTAAAAATGTTGCTCCTTATAATTCAGCACGCCCCTCCACCCCCTTTCTCAAAATAACTAGATTTTCGCAAAAGGGGTGGGGGCGTTGCAATTTTTCTTTCCTCCATAGGGGGGCGGTAACGCTAAAAAGGTTCAGAATCTATGATCTAAACTATTGATTTTATCAACTTGGTTTTGATCTCATTTGATTTAGAGTAAAACATTACATCTAATACTGCTCTCCCTTTCATTTTCCTTCCCAGCTGGGGGTCCCAGTGCACCATTTTTATTTCTGATAACAAAAAATAAAGGTGAAAAAAAAAATCACTCACAACACACAATCAAAAAGTTGATCATGGGCTTAAGAATAATGGTACTTATTGATTGTTGGATTGGAGAAAGATCTGTTTGAAAACAATACTTTCATTTTCTTTATAAACTGCCTCTGCGGCAACATTAGATATTTAGACTATTGGTCTTGAAAATTTTAGCTATAGATTGCTGAATCTTTTCAGGGAGTAAAAATTAAAACATCAGTTTCATATTATCTTTATGCTTTAAAAAAATATTCAGGAGTATAATACACTAATTTTGAAGGTATAATGGTCAAGGATCACACAGAACTGGCTTTCTTTCCTGCTGGCAATTATTTTTAAACATTTATTGCAAACAAAATATCTTTTTCTGATTAGTATTATTTGTCTCTCTGCATGTTGTTATTCATGCAGTTCTATTGTAAATTTGTGATAATCAAAATTTTTTTGAAGTCCTAAAATGTTTATTTTCAATTTAAATTGCTCTTAATGCTATTAATTTTTACTCCTACTTACTTCTGCAAATTTTTACTTTTTATACTTATTATTACTGTTTTTTAAAAACATTTTGCTAAGTACAATTATTATTATTAATAAAATTTTTAAACTAATTATTAATGCAAGATGTTATTCAAAATGTTAGTTCACTTAAATTGTTAAAATTAAATACATTATTAGTTTTAATTTCAAAAGCTGTTGCTTATAATTAGCTGTTAATATCTTGTAGATATGCAATACCTGGAATTTTAAGTAAGTTTTTACTACTTAACTTAATAGTTAAAGATATTACTTTCTTTAAATGTTAGAATTCATCTGCGTAGAATAATTGTTATATTGTTATAATTATAATAATAATTTACCTGTAAAGTAAATAAGTTCTTTACACATCTTTTTTCTCCCAGATCATCGCAAGTGGATGGGTGGTTGAACCAGTTTCTATTAATTTTCAATCTTGCCAAGTGTCTTATCTTGTTCAGGTAATACATAAAAAAACTTCACCAACATTAATATTTATTTCTTTTTTTTTCAGGAATTTTTATTTGAAAAAACATAAAGCTAAATATTTAAATTTCATAGTTATTAAGACTGCATTTTTATTATAATTATTATCAAAATTTTTTTTGTTTCTCCAAAGTTCAATAAATCCCTCAAGCTAGATACTGTAATCAGTGTTGTTTTTATTTCTTTTTCGCTTGTACAAAATACTTTAGTTTATAAATTGTGACTCTTACATAATAAATGTTAAAAAAAATATAATTATGATTATTTTTTATTACTTCTCAAAAATTAATGTTAAAATTTTTTTAAAATTATTATTTATTGAAATTATTATCTACTGTTTTTTTTTGTTGTTTTTTTACATCCGCTGTTGAACAGCCGATCCAATTTTTTGGGTTTATGACTACTAATTTTCAACTCCATAGCCTTGTAATTTTGAACCAATCCAGAAGACAAGGAAACTCCTGTCTCAGTACCCCAGAGGTAATGATTTGTTTTGGGAACATGGAGGACTTTGTAACTTGACAGATTTAACGTGCATCAGTCACCATTTACTACACGAGGAGTCTTCGGCCGGCGGGGATTGAACCCACATCCGCTGTTGAACAGCCGATCCAATTTTTTGGGTTTATGACTACTAATTTTCAACTCCATAGCCTTGTAATTTTGAACCAATCCAGAAGACAAGGAAACTCCTGGCTCAGTACCCCAGAGGTAATGATTTGTTATGGGAACATGGAGGACTTTGTAACTTGACAGATTTAACGTGCATCAGTCACCATTTACAGTCTGATGAGTCTTCGGCTGGCGGGGATCGAACCCACAGACTCTTAGACATGGACCCAGTGCCCTACCGACTAGGCTATCCCGGACTATTATCTACTGTTTATTGTTTTTATCCTGAGATCATGACTGAGAGGCTATTTTAAACAGGTTCATTATCGTCATAGTTGGCCAGACAGCCCAATGTGGGCCAATGCTTTCCTCTGAAAATTTCTCCATTATGAGTTCCAATTTATCTTTGATCTCCAATTTTTCCCTATCATAGCTTTCCATTTTACTCTATTTGTGGCCAGATATTTTTCCTTACTCCGTGACTTTCCTATTGTTTTTAATTCATTTTTGCTTCCTATTGACTTTCACAACCTGGATTAATTCTAACTGAAGGGGACATACATATCTCTATGATTTCAGTTTCTGTAACAGGTAAGTTTTTATGAGATAGGATTGTTAACCCTATGCTTAACACGCAACCTGGAGGGCCAGAGTGTTACCCCACTGACATGTCCGGCTTAGGTAACTCAGTGGGTCTTAAACGCACGCAAGCCCACTCTCCACGATTAGGGTATTACACCAAACGGTGGAAAAAATTTATGAAAATTTATAAATTTACAATGAGTATAAAATATTTTATTTGTACAAAATTCAGTACTTCCTGTAACAATATTTATGATGCAAAAGGAGGATAAGTAAATATATTTATTTATTTAAAATATTTGGAAATGTTTTTTTTTTCCTTCTCAGCTCAAACAATAAATTTTCAGCAGTTGTTGTAGATTGCCATTTTCATTTTCTGAAAGTTCATGCAAATACAAAAAGTTTCTCATTGTTTTGAAGGCTTCCGCAAATTTTTACTCTAATTTATTGTGCTTTCTAATTTATTATTTTGTCTTCATGGGTATCACTTTGCCCTTCTTCAACTTCTGCAAACATTTCTTCAACCAGTAACACCACAACATTCTCCATATTTTTCAAATGATGCATAAACATCAAATTTGTAGTTTGAAACATTTTACCCAAATTGTGACAAATCAACGTTATCTTCATTACTAGTATAGGAGTTAGTCAGTTGTTTCTTTTCACAAAATAAATTAACTTGAATACTTTTTCGAATGTCAGTGGAATTTCTAAACGTTAGATGCGGGACTTTGCTAGTTTTAAAAACGATCTAAATGGAAATTATTAAGCATTTGTGACAGCTCTGTTTAAACATATGATTCATGCAGAAAAACGAAAGATACAGGATGTTCAACTGTATAATAATTATTTTTTTTTCCATTTCTAAATAAAATATTATTATTATTACATATAAGAAATTTTTTTATAGCACTTAAAGATGTAAGCAGCTTGACGTATTATTGAAATAGTATTTTTCTTGGGTTTTTTATTATATTAACAATCATGCTAGATATCAATAAATTCTCTAATGAGTAATTAGAGAAATTAAGGCAAAATATATACATTTTATTTTGCTGACAACAAATATTTGTTCTTTTTATTTATATGAATCTGGATACCAGCTTGTGCTTATTATCACGTTGTAAACCATGGTTATCTTGTGCAGACTTTAAATTAAAAAATTATTTATTTTAGATAAAAAAATATTTATTGTTCTATACTGTGTGTCCACTGTATTATTGTTATAAACTGGGTTTCTACTGTAACTTCCTTTTATTATTGTTATTATTATTGTATTGTCCATGAATTAGCATTTAATTTTTTTTTCTTACTTAAGTATCATGGAATAATAATATTTAGTAACTTACATTTGACAGCACTACAATTTTTTTGAACAAGTAAAAAAACATTGTACTTCTAATTGTGTTTAAATTAAATTTGAACAAGATAAAAATTTGAATTCAAAATATAGAACTAAATCTGTTTTTCCCAGAAAAACTCAATTTTTATGATTACAAAATATCTATACTAAAAAGAGAAAAAAAAATGAATCTAAGTTTTGAAGGGAGTCTGATTTTGTTAATTTTTTTCAGGGGGATTGTCACATCTTTATTAAATTTAAGAGTCCTATTTTAATAAACTAAACTATAAAAGCTAAAGTTCTGGATACTGCATAAACAGCTACAGCATTTTTAAGGGATTTTAAGCATCCTTACAATTATTTTAAAAGTTAATTCTGCTGTACCATCCTTCTTATTTAGTATTGTACTTAAAATTAAAGATATTGGGTTATCTTACTATGCAAAGACTGGGTATGATATTTTTTTTTAAGTGCCAATCTCCATTTCTTTGTTTTTCCCATCTTTCAATTATTAATCGACTTTTATAAGTCAGAATGTCATGTTTTCAAAAGATGTAAATAAATAAAATTTCTTATTACTGAAGCATTTTGTTAGTTGCAAATTTTGTCTATTGTTATTTTGCCTTTGCAACATTATGTACAAGCAATACTTTATGGACTGTTATAACTTTCCTCTTCTTTTTTTTTTCACTGACAAAATGTTAAAAATGGCCACATTTCAGCTGAAAAAAATATACTCATCTTGTAGATTATGTGAAAAATTTGTGTTTCTTTAAATTCTGCACTATTCAATTTTGAAGATTGGTTGAAATTCTTACCAGTTTACACTCTTTCGTTTGGTTTCCTTTTCTGTGACCCTTACCTAATAATGACTGATACAGAATGTTCTTTGATTTTTTTATTTTAATGTTTGATCTGAACCGTTTATTCCAATATATTGACTGTAGTTTTTTCCTTATATCTTTTCATTCTGCAATAAAATAACTTGAACTTAAAATATAAATACACTATGTGGCAGAATAGCGGTAACAAAGCCACATTTTCGCTAAACGTTACGGAGTTCATGCAGAAGGATTTTTCAATTGGGAAAAAAAGAATTCAATTTTTCTTTTCTACAGAATTTTTTCGAATCTGTTTTTTTCTCATGCAGAATTAATTTAAAAAGATTACCTTACCAAATGGGGGAGAAATGCTGAAAAGGAAATAGTGCTATGCTTTTTTCTTGGTATTTAAAATATTGATGTTTTAATTGCTCAGTCATTACTATTGATACTCTCGTTTTTTTAAAGCAAAATATCTATCTTATTAAGATATGCAAAGTTCGAACAGTGCATTTAAGTAGTCCCTCTGATTTCATGGCAAATCCATATGATCCTTCAATTGTTTTTTTGACACTTGATGTGATAAATTTAACAAGTGCTTATACCCAATTATTAATTATCAAGTCCGTATATTTTTTCAAACAATCTTATTACGACAAACAAAATTCAAATCACATATTTAATTATTCACTTTTAATGAGACCGATTCCGCTGTTTTTTTTTGGCAGTTATTGCTACTGATTTTTATGTGGTTTTTAAAATTCTGTTATTTTTTTTATTTGATATAATTCTGACATGTGAAACACAAATCATGCCTTAAAATAATTATTTTTTGACATGCTCAGTTTACACTGATAGAATCCAGTAATTCATGTGATGTTTCAGTCGTTTTTTCAGTAGTTGTAGCTATTGATTTTCACATGGTTTTTAAAAATTCCGATAGATTTCATACAATATAGAAAATTTGACACGATTATTCAATATTTTTACACGATTATTCAATATCTACTTTTGGTAGTTATTGCTTTAGATTTCTGCATAGTTTTTAAGACCCAGTATTTTTAATATTACTTCAATTTACAACAAGGGAATATCGAAACACACATTTGAGTATTTCCTTTTTGACGAGTTCAATTTGCTTAATTTCGTTTTAAATACACGTGATTTTGTCATTGATTTTTTTTATAGTTATTGCTATAGATTTTGTAATTTATATATATTGTTTTAATGTGATAATGACTTGCAAAAGGCAAAAAGGGAACTAATTAGTGTCCTCTCCTTCAAAATGTGAGAATAGCACTCATAATAAATATACATTCTTTATATGTTGCTGAAAAAGATCGTTGCATTTACAATTAAAAAAATTATATATAGTTTTATTCCCTAGATTGAGGTTTTTTTTAAAAAAAAAAATCACAAAGCACTTCCGTTATAACAAGTTAGTAATATAAATATTTATTACAATTAAAGATTTCTTGCAAAAAGATAGGAGTGTTAGAACTGTTTGTTAAAGATCCTAGAAAAAATTCTGTCACGGAGGTTAAATACAATACTAACAAAGACTCAATTGGTATTGAAAGTTTATAAGAAATGATTAAAATCACTATTTTTTTTGATGTTGCAGCATATTTAAACATTCTACATTTTGTGAAAAAGTTGATGAAATATGAATTATTTTATCATTATGTTATTTCATATGGTTTTGTCAAAATTATTCCATTATTTATTAGTAATGAGTAAGTAAATGCAAAATTTTCCTTTGTCCAATATATTGAGATATCATGGAATATAATAAACATCTATTTTCTTTTCCGTGATGGGTTAGTTATGCTGAGAATTGACTGTCTATTCTGTTATACATTTAAAATAACTATCTTGTTAGTTTTAATGTATAATGCATTTAAGTTATGAAACAAGTAGTTTAAAGTATTTCATTTTATTTCTAGATGATTGTTGGCAGTCCAGAAGTCAACTCTATGGAAGATATCAGCAATATGCAATCTCAGTGCATTAACAACTTGAGCCTTTATCTCTCTGCAAAACCACCTAGTTATGGGCCTTCCTAATAGAACTGTTATTTTTTCAATGTGTTTAGAAGTACAAATTTTGTTACCTGTGTTTCAGAACAAATATTTCAATGCAGGTATAGTTTGTACACTGTAAAACAAAGACATTATATCAACGGTCACGCTTTGCTTTGAGGTAGATGATAATATTTCATTTTGAGGAGGACAATTAATTGCTCGGTTTTATATTATGTGTGTGTTGTTTGTATGAGTTTTAAGTGTTTTTAATTAAAAGGACTGCATATTTTGAAGAAATCTCAATATGATGTTATTGATGGAGCTTGTTTCGAGAAATATTTGCACATTATTTTAAAATTTTTATAAAAATTAATCTAGCAGACTCATACAGTCTTTAAACTGTTGTTTTTTGCATGTGTTAGATAATGCAAACATTTTAATAATATTCGCTATGAAAATGAAATATTTACCTAAAACTGCTTGTAGATAGTTAAATTTATAGATATAAATGAAATACTTATAAAATGGCTATGTACATTTAGATATTATGCTACTTAAATTAAAATTAGATTGCTGAATATGCTACAAATATTAAATGACATTTATGAAACATTGCATTGTACTTAATTTTATTTTGTTTTATGTCTCAATGTATTAGAAAATAAGAAAGTCAGAGAAATTTTACTGATTTTCAAGCTTTTTTTTTCTTTCTATAAGATGAGGGATATATAGATTTTACTTGTATTTTTTGACATATTCTGTAAATCATTTAAATTGGCCTTTTTCATATTCTTATAAAACTATTCTTTTAAACCTAATGAGTTCAGCAGATCCCTAAAATATCACATGTCCTCTTAAACACACATTGAAGACCCCTACGCTTACTAAAAACTTTGTTCAGTTTAACATATGTATGTGAAATGCAAGTAATGAAGGACAATATTAACAAATGGATATCATTGTAAACATAGTTGATAGTCATATGTTAACTTATTTAGGATAGTTACGAATAGCTTAATTTTGCTCAACTTGCAAATAATACTACAGCTGCCTGGGTCTGCCCAATTATTACGAACCATAGTTATGAAATTTAAAACATTGCAAGAATTGCTAATTAGCTTCTAGGTAAATAAAACGCTCCTGAAAATAGAGTTACAGTTCTGCAATAAAAAAAGAGAAGAAGACAGGACTGTACTCATACTTTTTACACCATGTTTATTCCCAAATAAACAGAAAAAGTAAAGCATTAGATACTCGAAAAACATCACTATATATATAGAGAGAAAATATTAGCAATGAACATTGAGTTTGTGGTTCTTGTAAGAGGTCCCACTCTAATCATGAAATCATTCCAAAAAACCAGTGAAGAATAAAAGGCAGAAGGTGGAGCTCTCTATTTTTTCATTTGAAAACTCAACTCTAATAGCTGCACATTCAAATTCTTCAGTCAAACTCTATTTTAATTTGCAATATCTAATAGTGTATGATTTGGCGGTTAATTTGAGAGAAATTTCAATGGTGTTATTTTTCATAAATTTGTTATAAAACAATGAAGTGCGAACTAATTTTTATTAATTTATTTATTTATAAAAAAAAACAATGCTAATATTTTGCTCAAACTTTGTCGCACACTTTTCTTCAATCAGTAAAATTGTTAAGATGTACTTAAGCATATGTGTTATCAGCGCAAATCAAAATTGAAGTACTAGTTAAATATATTTCAATGTTAATGATATCATTGTGCAAATGACAAAACATTACATTATATGTATATAATATTATTTAAATAAAATAACATTTAATTATCTCTATTGTCTGATTACTGTTACTTAACTATTAATCCAGTGACATCTAAACTTTTTCAATCGTTAGTTCTACCTCTAAGTATCTGGCAATATTTTAAAAGAATGTGGTATTATAAATGGAAATAGATTTATGTGTGTATTTCTTCATATTGCCTCTATTAGAAAGTCTCTATGGTCCAAAAATTGGGAATTTCTTTTTTAATCTATATTTAATTATTTTAGAAGTGTCTTTGTGTATAGGTCTTAGGCTAATAGGAAAATCCGGCTCTTTGCAAACTGCTAACATCACTTTAGAAGTTTTATTCTAATTTGCCTAACAAATGCTGTTTGCAGTGTACAAAAAGCAGAATTTTACTAATTAACCTACAACACAGGTACTAATTTTTACTCTTTTAGAGCAGTGGTCCCCAACCTTCTGGCTGTAAACAGGACATATTTTGAAGATATGATCAAATGTGAGTGGGTCTCCTTTGGAACAATAAATTGTTTCCATTTTAATTTAATTATCCCTTCTGGTTTGTCCGACTTTTTATAGACGAGTGGTTAACGGAGCTGAGATAAAGCTTAATCTGAGATAAACTTTAAACTAAGATTCGTCACCTAAAGCTGCTGTGTCACCTAAATTATTATAATTTATTTCACCTAATTATAATAATTTATGTCACCTAAAGTGGCATAAATTTGTTTATGTTTGTAATGTATCATTGTCAACGATTACCCCCAGATGGAACCGTCTCATTGCAAAGAAACAAGTTCAGGGTTCTCATTGATTTAACGTTCTAGTAAGTTAAAATGTTAAATCACTTTATATTTATTTTTTGGTGTAACTGTATTTTATTTTGAAGGCATGTTTAAATACAATTAAATTAAAATTAATAAATCAAAATAATCTAAAATATAAGCAATCATCGTCCCCCCCCCTCAGTGGGCCGCGGGAAAATTATCAAACGTTGACAAGTCCACGGTGATATAAAGGTTGTGGAACATTGCTTTAAACAACCTCAAACAAGCTAAGGTATAAATAAAATGACTTCATACACCTCAATAAATACCTGACTTCCTTAGTTGAAATAAGGTAAATTTTTTTATACCTCAAAAATACCTCTTGTTATGAGTGTCAGAAAACCAACCTGTATACCTTAAAAATCACTTCCTCAATCTAGTTAGTTGATATGAAGTGAATTTAAAACAACCTTAAAATAAACTGAGGTATAAATAAAAGGACTTCATACACCTCAATAAATATCTCACTCTCTTTAGTTGAAATAAGGTAAATTTTTTTATACCTTATAAATATCTCTATTTAAAACAACCTCAAAATAAGCTTAGGTATAAACAAAATGACTTTATACACTTTAATAAATACCTCATTCTTTTCAGTTGAAATAAGATAATTTTTTTTTATACCTCATAAATACCTTTTTTGTTATAAGTGTCAGAAAAACAACCTGTATGCCTTAAAAATCACCTCAATCTGCCCGGTTGATTTAAAGTGAATTTTAAACAACCTCAAAATGAGCTGAAGTGTATGTAAAACAACCTCGTACACCTCAAATACAACCTTTATGAGGTATAATTTTTATAGTTATTTTCTCAGAAACCTCAAATATACCTCAAAACAACCTCGATAGCTCAAAAATACCTTAAATTTTCGTATGGGCTGCGACTGCAGCCCCAATAGCCCTCCCTAAGTCCCCCCTGAAAAAGAGTTCTACGTGAGTTTTCAAAAGCAGGACATTCTAATTTTAAAAAAGATATTGCCAAGTTTGAAGCAACATGGCTGAATAATCCAAAGGGTGTTACAGATTTTTGGCAAGCTTCTTATGGGCTTGAACTTTTAGCTGTTACAGAAAGAATCTATTTTTTAAAATTTTATTCCTGCTCACCCGCGCCTTCGTGCAAAAAGAAGTTAACGGTTATTTTTATTAAGAAAAGGATAAATATAAATTTAAAAATTAAATTAAATAAAAAAAAAGTCAGCATGTATATAATGTCTATATCAGCAACATTTATTACATGTTTGCTTATTACTTTTTCTTTCGACCGATAAATTCGATTTATTTACTTTTACTTGCAACAGTTTGATTCGTATCAAAACCTGACTAACCCAAATTAAATACTTCAGACATCATTAAATTAAAATCTCTAATTTTAATAATTTACACAAAATGTATTGTTTCTAGTCTTTCAAGTTTTTTTAAAATCATAAATGTATTTGAAATAACACGTTATTATCTCAAAACTGCATATTTGGATTAGATAGTGCTTAATGCGCCCACGAATAACTTCATTTGCATATCTGATTGTTGATAACAAAAAAGTTGCAACCAATTTTATCATCTCGGCGCAATTCTCGAATTTTGAACTACAAATTCATATTGATAGATCTCAGACATAAGATACTCAGATTATATAAGATGCAGATGACAAAAACGTGTTAGATAAATTATATATTTTAATATGTATTTATAGATAGCATTTGTTTATCTCGTGTTAGGATAAAGAAAAAATAACAATCAGCGATTTCTTTTGCATATGATTAAAAAGAAGATTGTTTTTCTGCCTGGTTAATTATATAAACCAATTTCATAAAACACGGACATGCTTGTCAATAAGCATAATGTGTTTCGAATTGATGAGCTCCGATTAGAAACACACTTATGTAACTGACCTTCGCATCCAACAATAGTGTTTCCGTTTTAAATAAATTTCGTCGTATCTATTATTTTAAAATGGGAGCTCTGATTATTTTCTTCTGTGATATCATTTTGGCAAGTTATCTGATTCCTGCAACTGACTATTTAAGTTCCCTTATTTTCGAAATTTCTTAAGTATTCAAAGTTGTGGAGTAATAATGGAGTTGACAACAGCTTTACTATTTACGTGCTTAATTGCTTTTATTATTTATTTGATTGCTGGACGGGATGCTCGCAAATTGCCTCCAGGTCCTTATGGATTACCTTTCGTTGGTTACATCCCATTCATGAGCTCTAAGCCGTATTTGGACTTGCAGAAATTAGCGAAAAAATATGGCAGCGTTTTCAGGCAAGTGTTCCATTTTTAAAACTATTTAAAATATTAGTTCAGTATAATTAAAATTCTTAGTGGCGTTACGGAGGGTCATGTACCCTGTAAAAATGATTTATTTACTTTAGTATTATTTTCGTATTTTGCGCATACTAATAGTTCCTTTAAAGAGGACATTTACGTTTATGCTTGAAACTTATTGAATTGATTTTTTAATATAAATTTGTCCGTCTTTAATTGCCCCTCTTCCGAAAAAAAGAAAAAAACGTCCAGTAGTGTCGATGATTCTGTTAACTGATTTCATTACCTCAAAATAAATAAAATTATTTATTAAAAAAAAGTCTTATGGAAGATGTTTCTTTATCACTACTTAAAATATACGTTTTCAAATTACTCTTCAAAAATGAAAATAAAAATGTACATTAAAAAAATCATAAATAATTATTCCAGCGAGGAAAAATATGGACATTTTTTAAATCCTTATTTGGGTTAGTTTTATTAATGATAAAATTAAAAATATTGAGATTAATTTGATGAAATGAAGTGAAAGAAAAGGGTGAATGTTAAAAAAAGAAATGCCTTTTATTTTCATGCCAAATTAACGGTATTGTATTGAATTGATAATAAAATTAATTTAATTATAAAACTAATTAATTGCAAAAATAATTAATTATAAAATTAATTAATTTCAAAGTAATTATAAATTACTTAATTATAAAATTAATGAATGCGAAATTAATTTATTACAAATTATTTAATTATGAAATTAATGAATGTGAAATTAATTAAATTTAAAATTAATAAATGTGAAATTAATAAATTATAAAATTAACAAATATGAAATTAATTAATTATAAAATTAATTGTAATATTTTAAAGGGCGATCTTTTGAAGTACGGCTTGCACCGCGAATTTACAGGTGGGAACCGGTTTTCTAGTCGGATCAGTGGCCAGCGTATATGCAGAACAGTTTTAAAAAGAGAGCTAACATTTCAAGCTATGACAAAGATGATTTTTGACTTGATCTTTCGACCAAGATTAATTAAAATCATAAAATTAATTAAAAAAATTGTGAAATAAAAAATAAAAATTATTTTAATAGCATGGTTGCTTTAACAACATCTATATTATGATAAGTTAAAATTGTAAATGATTCTTCGATTCCAAACCAAAAAATACATGAATTTAAAAATTTTTTAGAAATTCCTAGCACTCTCCGAATATCTATAGTCTTGCTAGCGCTCTTCTAAAAGTTTTCTCCGCTTATCGGGAAACTGTAGCGCTCACCTTGGAAACCTATCACCGAAAGCAGGGTTTTTTAAAGTTTTTTAGTGTGGGGACCCTATAATATTTGCGAAAATTTTGTGGGGCCCAATAAGCAGTGTGCAAATCCGACATACGCTTGAAACTGTTAGTTTGAAGTCATTAACTTTAAGACATAGAGCAATGTTAAAATTTTAAATACGTGACAAACTTGAAAATATAATAAAATAATAAAAATGCGTTGAAATGTTTTTTTATTTGTCTTTAAAGTTTCATCTATATCAGTTTTCAAATACATTGTGAAATTATTTGGTAATTGTAAAATTATTATAATAAGTTAAAGAAATATTAAAATTGCTCACATTTCTGGCGATCGCTTCTAAAGATCGGAACCCGCAGGTCTAAGAAATTCTGATCTAAACCATCATTACTGATTAATTAGACAGAAGCTTTGATGATTTTATTAATTAATTCCTTGTTTCTACTGGGAGATTGAATAAATATAAGTTAGATGATATTTTTTCATTTGTTGGCCTTTTTTCATATTTTTGAGTAAACATTTGTTTTTACAGATTGCGTTTAGGTACTCAAAACACTATAGTTTTAAGTGACTATCAGTCTACCAAAGCTGCTTTTTTTCAAGATGCATTTATGGGAAGACCACCTGTTTCACCTTTTGAGCTTAACAAAGAAACTTTAGGTAATTAAAATTACTATAATCATATTTTTTAAAATCATTTTTCAGCAAATGCAAAAGTTATTAAAAAGCATCTCATATTTTTCTTCGAAAATCCGATCTTCAAATGTCAGAACTGTAATTGAAAGTGTTATTGAAAAATGATATTATTCCTTAACAATACTAATGTAAAATTTAGTCTCTTTCCACGCACCCATTTTTAATTATACTTAAATTGAATTAATTTTCACGTTTATGAGAGGAAAATAATATAATCAAAATTTTGGTTTCTTTTCGACTAGCTGTAGTGCTAAATTTTAAATAAGAACTCTGACCCGGATTAAAATACAAGCATAACTTTTCTCCTGATTGCTAGAAGTAGAATTTAAAGTTAAAAGAGTTTTTGACATCTCTCGGACTAGCTAGAGAGCTCGAATTTTAATTTGAGCTTTATACTAAATGACAATACAATTTTTTCTCGTTTTCCTATGACTACATGTAAAATTCATCATTATTTTATAGCCAAACAGAATTTATTTCCAATTGAAATAGTGGCCAGTTTCTGACATTAACAAACTAACAGATACGAAACTGAAATAAAAATTAATAAAATATTTAAAAAAAGCAAGTTTTTAATTTGAACTAAAAAGAAGAAAGCAATTTTATTTTTGTTGTATGTAAAAGGAAAAACGGAGGATACATTTTTTAAAGCAGATTTTTAGCATTCCTATAATGTTTCATGTTTTTCGTCTTAGATGTGACAAAAATAATTTTTTTCCTTTTTCAGTTCATTTAGAAAATATGGTTACCCGAAAACTTTTTTAATATGCTGTATGAATAAAATTATTCAAGTAGATTTTATTGTGAAAGAGTGAAGCATAATTTTAGCGTTTTTCAAAATAATGACGGGATAAAATGCTCTACTAAATTTGCATGTCATCGAAACATGTTATTGAGGCTCTTTAAGAGTAGATATACATAAAATTTTTAATATCATATCTCGCCGATTTGCTAGTTTTATAGACATAGATTTTGCATATCGGGATAATTATTTTATTATATCAGGCTGAAAATCAGATAATTTAAGTAAGTTTTTACAAAATGCAGTTTAAACTCAGTACGTACAACCATAATTTAAAAAAAAATATTCCTATACATTTATGTTCGTAGCCAAGGCCTACTAAGATGGTGATATTAGTACGCCATACTTGCAACGATTATAAATGAGAAGCTTTGTGCATGAACCCAGCTCAAATGTTCCAAAAGATTTTCAATGAGTTTTTAACTATCGGCAATATACCTACTTCGATTAGAACAAGAATCGGGCACAACTGCATCATCAGTCTTCTCCTATGTAGTAAATAATGTAGAGAAAAGGCAGACATATGTTAAATAGTCTTTTTTTTCAATTTCAATTTTCTTTCATTAACAATTAGTGTAGCTGGGCTTACCTTGTTGCACTAATTCCTTTAAAATATGAGCACGTTCTGCAATATATTATTTAAGGTATTCATTTTGAAGGAATCACTGGTTTATTAACGCATTCAAAAAAGCTCTTTTTAGTTAGTATTGAATAAGTTTATTAAAGAGTTAAAATTGTTCTTTAAATGGTTTTTTAATAACTAAACATTTATAAAACATGTGATGGTTTAATCTTTCATTAGAAACCGGTGCTTTCAATGAATTACCATGGAAAGAGCAAAGAAGATTCTCCCTTCACATGCTCAGAGATCTCGGATTTGCAAAAACACGAATGGAAGAGCACTTGAAAGTAAGATATTTAACGATTGTTTCAAAGCAAGATATAATTATTTAAAGCTAGATATAATCTAGAATAATGAAATGAAAGTTTTGTACGTTTGTGTTTTTCTTATAACCCAAGAAAACTGATCCGACAAAACTGCTCTGGAGACAAAATATAAAATTAAACTGGGTTAAGGCGCATGTGGGCATCCAGGGCAACGAAGAAGCTGACGAAGCAGCCAAGATGGCCATTGGGTTAGACACGGTGGAACTCCAAGGGCTGAGGACCCCAAAACAGGTTAAGAGTAAACTAAGGGATAGTATCCTTATTAAATGGGCAGAGGAGTGGAGGAACTGTCCAAAAGGGAGGCAAACCTATGATCTCATTAAAACACCATCAACTAAAAGGTTACTTACAAACTTTTACCTAAATCAATTCATTACTGGCCACGGAGTGTTCGGAGTGTATCAAAAAAGGTTTTTCAACAAAAGTGGTATCTGTCAATATTGCACGGAAGAACAAACCATTCACCACCTACTTTTTGATTGTGCACGCTTCCGGGCACTCCGAGGGGATATCTTTACTAATAAAACTGAGCATCAGATCTTCTCAAGTAATGACTGCAAAAATATNCATCGACCTCAACTGCTGCCACGACACCCTTTATTCCGAAAAAGTCGGAGATGTGGCCAGGACTGTGCTCCATGCCTTCGGTCCCATTTGACTTGTACTTTAACCTTTCTGCACTTGTCAAACGACAACAACAACAAAGAAAATATTAGTGGTGTTTGGTAGCTTGTAGCTCGATTAGATAAAAAGGAGTTTATGTTTCTATAAAACTAAATGATGCTTAATTAATTTGGCAGTAGGTACTAATTCAAATAAAAAAATAAATTATGTAAAAAAAAAGTGAAATTAATGAAAAAGCGGTACTAATTAATTTAGTAGAAAATTCGCTATACTTTATTGTCGCCAATAATGCTTAATTAATTTTGGTAATAGACACTACTGGGAATTGGTGCAGTGTAAATACGTGACAAATGCACTAGTGCAGGTACTAAGTGCTATGGTGTATGAAAGCACGTAGCATTTAAAAGTAAGATCTTTAGCGGGCATCTAATCGTATGATTTAAGAGGCATTTAAAAAGTAGAATTTTTAACGGCTGACCTAAAAATTAAATCTAATGAGCATTTAAAAGTAAGATATAATGTGTCACGTGCTTTTTATAACTCACATTTTCGTCATAATAAGCATTTAACAATGGATATAGAAACTTTTCCGGTTTTATGCTTTATATACGCAATGTGCGATGGAAAATCAGGTTTCCTTAAAATTTGAGAGTATTATAAAACCAATTAAAAAAAGCTTTTGCTTATTAAATGCTTTTCCCTACAGCATAATGGAAATTTATGTACCATTGACATTTTTTATGAGCTTTTTATTATTCATATGGAGTATATAATATCTATATAGTTAATGTTTTTTTCTTAATGTCACATGAGATTTTCAGAAAAATTGATATCTATTTCGTTTTAGATCTACAAACTAATCTGATAGAATTATGTTGTTAAATAATACTAGAAAATACTAACAGGGTTTTTTTCTTTGTAACTTTTCCCTTTTGTCTACAGGATAAAATTAACGCCCTCAAGAGTCGCAAATACATTTGTATAGAATGAAAATACTTCAAAATACATTTGTTTTTTATTACAATATAATATTTTCTTATTGTCTCAGGACAATTTGCTAAACAGCTTCCTCTATAACGTGAGTAAACGCAACTCAGAGGAATAAATGTGTTATTATTTTTAAAGGTTTAAATAATATTGTAAAGCAAACATGAAATTAATATTTAATATTTTTCATAGAATTTTTTGAATTCATTTCATATTATTATCTTATTTCTCCCTTACTTTTTCTAGGAAGAAATTCATGATTTGTTAGAACATTTTGAAGAGTTTGGAGGAAAGCCAATTGTTCTTAAGCCTCTTTTAGCTCCTAGCATGTCTAACAACATAGCCACGCTTGTTTTCGGGCAAAGGCTAAAATATGATCATCCAGTGCGTCGAATGCTGGATAAGGGTTTAGGTGACGCTGCTGCAGCCGCTGGACAAGTAGCTTGGGAACTATTTTTTCCATTCCTAGCCAGCGTTGTAAAATTGCTTGGTTTCGGTGGAGCTGCTAAAATTGCTAAAACTCAACAGGAAACTAAAGAATATATCCAGTAAGCATACATTACCTAGATGCTGTAATATTACATTCGTATTTAATTAATACGAAATTTAAAGATGTGATATTCACTGTTAGAAATTTGGTTCTGCAACTACAGTAAAATAATCGGCTGCAGTCTGTCCATCTAGTGAGGAGTAAAGTATATGGATCGGAACATTTTTACCCTTTCGGCCTTGAAACCAAATGTAATTCGTATAATTGAAAAGCCGCGAATTTTGTAACCATTTACTACTAGCATGATTTCAAAACTGTAAAAAAGAGGAAATTTAACTGGACATTGGAGTTTCTTGTATAGGCTTTTCCTCATGTTTGGAGTTTAGGGCGCAAATGGAGGATTTCTAGGACTCAATCTTAAAGATTCGAGGGAGGAACTTGAAATATGCTGCAAAAACATTCTTTCTCTAAATATAAATATACATTTTTTTCGACGCATTCGGATTTCTGACCCCCTAAATTGAGAGGGTTGGCGAGAACTGGGAAATATGGTCCCAATGGTTTGATCATTAGAGTGGTCCAAAGTTTGGATCGTTTATTGTTAATTTTATTTTTTTGAAAATTTTACCATATTTCAAACACAATTATTAAATTCGTTTATATAAAGATAATTCCATGCAAGATATTATTTTTGGTAAATATTTATTATTTTATCTTAGAATATAAAAAAAAAATTGAATTGTAAGGTATATGCAATTCTTTACATCATTCCAAAGAATGCAATTTTACGTGACAAAATACAAAATCTGAGAGAAATCGGTCTAATAATTCATGGAAAATCGAATTAAAAAAAAAACAGCTTTTTTAAAATTCGATTTCTTAGGAAATATTCAACTGATTTCGCTGAAATTTTGTATTTTGCTATGTGCAATTACAATATTTAAAATGATGTGAAAAATCGTATATCTTACGATTCAAAATTTTTCGACTGCTATCAAATAATATATTAAAAAATAAAATGTATTTACTATTATTAAACAACTTTAAAAAATACTGCTGCATAGCAAAGCAAACCAATCTTAAATTTTGTTGCATTATTAGTAAGATTTTTTCTAAAACTGGGTCGTACAAGTTAATCTTTACTTTCTGCTATATGTATTAGGATTCAATTTTAATAAAAATGTGCTGCAAAAGTAGCACTTTATTAAGATTGTAGAATGTTTGCACGCTATTTGGATCAAATGTTGAGCTAGTTTTCTGAAATTATATCAAAATATAAATAATATTATCTCCCATATAAATAACAATAGTACTTAATTATGTTCGTATGTAAATGCAAGATTTTTTATAAATGTTAATTGATAAAACTATATACATTTTTTAAACTTATTTTCAATTATTACCAAAGTAACTAAGGTTAGGTTTCATAATTAGGTTTCAATGTAATAAGAAAATAAAGCATGATTAAGTAAATTTCCTATAAAAAATACCTATAAATACTTTTAAAAATATAGTTTATTTTAAATATAAATTTAAAGTTATAAATTTTAAAAAATACAGAATGTTGACATATAGGTAGACACAAAATCAAGACATGTTTTCTCAAAATTCAGTATGAAGAACAAAATATTTTAATTTCTACATGCATTAATAAATGATGTTATATTCGTTAAGATGAAAATTGAAAACTAACTCGATACCTCAAAACTTTTCTTCATGTATAAAAACGAGATATTAATACATTTTTATTTTTGATTTATAAAATAAATAAAAATTTATTTATTTTATAAATCAAATTATTTTCCTACATTTAAAATTTATTATTTTGCTACTAAAGCATTTTAAGTAACAAATATTTTTTCTTCAAGGAAACAAATTGATCAACACGAGCAAACTTTGGATGAAAACAATATAAGAGATTACATTGATGGCTATTTACTGGAAATACGAAAAAGAAATGACAAAGCTTTTTGCAGTAAGTGAGATTTTTTTTAATTACGTAGAAAAAAAAAATCAATACTCTCTTCTTTCAATAATAATAGTAAATCACTATTTAAAATTGAAAATTTTAGATAATAATTTATTATAGTCAGTGTCAATAAAGATAGTGATATTAGAATAAAGAATATTAAATATTGCATTTATTGATATATTTTAGTTAATTATTATTTTGGTTGCTTTGAAAACAATGGCTAATTGATATTTAAACTAAGGAAGCCCCACCTAAACTTTATGCAAGAAGGCCCCGAGTGACGAAGTGAAAATAAGATGAAGAGGAACATTAAATCAAATTATGAAGATTTAGTTGAAAATAAGCTTTTTGCCATAAAAATCATTTTTAAGGAAATATTTTTAATAATTTTTTTGCGCTATGATGTTAAACTTCGGAAAACATTCTATGCATTACACTATTATGAATCCTTTCATGTTTACTGTAAAAAATCTTTTCTTTCTTTTTACAAATACCGTAAATATTAACTGTATATATTTTTTTTCCTTCTTTTCTAAATTTTTTCTTCTTGTTTCATTATTAATATTTCAGGATGAATTTCTTAGTTAATATCAGTGGATTACTTACTTTACATAAGAATTATAAGCGAAATACTTGGAATAATGTATTGCAAATGTTACTACCAGGAAAAGTGTCGAAGACTATAAATAAACTTACACTATTTTATTTAAAAGTCAATGATAAGCTAGAATAATTTTTCATCTTTAAGACTAGGATTAGGCCATTATTCTGTTTTTCAATCTGCTAATTTCAAAGTTGCATAGAAATTTGATTCGGGGACAGTAAAAACAACTGAAATTTTAAACTTATATGTAAAACCGTTAAATGTTGGAGAATTACGCCCACTGCTCAATTCACTCCTATGATAGACAGAAAATCACTTTCGTTTCGAACTTATTATCCTTATTTCGGTGAAATGTTTTTACTTCTCAGTCATGTTATAAGTATCTTTTCCTTATGTTAGAACCTGTACTTGAAGACATGGTTGGAGCTTTCTTCGGTGCAGGTAGTGAAACAGTACGTCTTACATTGGATTGGCTTACACTGACCATGGCGGCTTTTCCAAAGGTTCAGGAAAAAGTAGCAGCAGAAATTGAAAGTGTGATTGGCCGAAACCGTACCCCTTGCTGGAAAGATCACGCAGACATGCCTTACACTGAAGCGACCATAATGGAACTAATGAGATGGCGAACTATTATTCCTATAAACGTTCTGCGGTTGTAAGTAATGTATCGAAGATTAGCTTTTTTTTTTGTAAAAATGATTATCATACTAATTAATTTTTCCTTCACATTAATCAAAATACGATTAGTTTATCGAAACACACACTGCGCAATCATCAAAACTATTTCGGCCAATATTTTGATAAGCCAACTTTACAAGTTGTTCAGGAGAGCGTGCTTGGTGTATACACCATTATTTCTATACAGGTAATGAAATATTTTACGTATTTTGTGGTTATTTAATGAAAATTTAGGAAACTTATTGAATAAACATCTACAATACTACAGAATATTTGATGCAAAAATGCTATCTTTAGAAAAAGTATAGCTTTCCACTATATTGCACAAGGTCCTAAATATTCTTATGGGTAGTGCAAATATCAAGAAGCTAGTGAATGAGCATACTAAGAGAAATCTGAAAAGCATTCAAAACTCTGGGTCTTAAAAATATCTTGACAATTCCTTCATTCTTAAATTTCGATTTTATTCTTTAAATCTAAATGTCACATCAAAATGTAAACATGTCTCACAAGCTTCAAGTTGTAAGACAATGCAAATTTATATAAAGAGGTAAAATATCAAAACAAAAATATTTATGAACAAGACACAAAAATTTACGGCGATGAGAAACTAAGCCAAAGTAAATATCGCAAGGGAGAAAAGTTCAAATAATCATTAAAATTTAAAATACGGTATGATCGTAATTAAACTCATAATATCTTCAGATTAATTTTATCTGATTTCATGTTCATAAAATTTTTACTACAATTTATAGAGTAAAAAAAATTAGCCATCTCTTAAAAAGTCAAATTCGACAGTTATAGTTTTCTTTTTTTTTTTTAAATTACGAAAACTGATCTAATTTATTCCTTTTTCAGTACTTTGACAGATACAGAACTGAATGGTTACTTTATTCCCAAAGAAAGTTTCGTGATCGCCAACTTGTGGGATATTCATCACAACCCTGAATATTGGGGAAAAGATGCAGAAGAATTTCGTGTTGAGAGATTCCTAACGGATGACGGGAAACAAGTGAAAAAATCGGAATATTTCATTCCATTTTCAATTGGTAAGTAAAACTCTAAAACATCTATTAGACATCCGGCATAAAGAAAAAAAATTTCTTATTTACCATTTTACCTTTACGTTTTTCCTGCATCAAAAATGAAAGAAAAAGTGAAAAGACGTGGCACAGTCTTTCGTCTACTGGATAATAAGTACGATACTCTTGAATTCGAACCCATTTTTGTTTAAAGCAACGTTGCTTTCGTTTTCTTTTTTAAAAAAACTTAGGCCTATCTTTATGAAGAGAGTGTGAGCCTGCTTCATAAAAAGCAGTAAAAGGCACTTTTTGGAGATTAACTAAACTTAAGCAAACTGTTATGAACTGTTTCAATAGTTATAAAAATTGCATATTATTTGCTAAAAAAGCTTTATTTCGTATAACCAAAAGAATTTTGAAGAACAGCATAAAAAAAGAAAGAAAAGAAACGTAAGAAAAATTTTCCTTGTTGTTTTACAATTTCACATCACCTTAAACTGAATCATATTTCGATTTCAAAACAGTTTTAAAATCAGCAAAATATTAAAGAAAATTAAAAAAAATGAAGTTTTATTTTCAATTTACCTATTCACACATAATGAACCTGATAAAAGTTATAATTCTCTTAATCTAGTTGTAGAAAATCATAATGAATGGTACAGGATGATAAAACTCATTTGCGTAAAGATAATTTTATTTTAAAATAATTTTTAATAATTATTTATTAATTAATGACTTAAAGATTTCTTAATAGTAAGATATAAGGATAAATAAAATTACCACTTGTTAATATAATTTTAAGTACTAAATTCCGACCTTAAGTTAAATCGGTTGAATCGGTCTATATTATAAAAAACATAATGATTTACTATAAAAAGACTTGAATTATACCTTTCTACATGCAATTTATTTGCGAATTAAATTCATTTTATCAGTTAAAATTTTAATTGGAATTGATAAAAGATATGATGCTTTATCTTTGATTGCGTTTAAATTCGATTGTTGAATTAGGCAAAGAAAGTGCACCTTTGTACCTTTTCTGCCCCCCCTCCGAAAAAAACCCAATTAAAACTAAATTATTTACTAAGAAACATGAATTATTTTTTATAACCGTCGTTGAACAACTGACGCAATTTTGGGTCAGCTGTTTACGACTACTAATGTTTGACTCCGTAATCTTGTAATTTTGAACCAATCCGGAAGACAAGAATACTCCTGGATCAGTACACCAATAGATATTTGTTATGGGAACATGGCGGACTTTGTAACTAGACGGATTTAACATGCATCCGTCACCATTTACTACACGCGGAGTCTTCGGCCGGCGGGATTGAACCCACGACCTCTTGGACATAGACCCAGTGCCCTACCAACCAGGCTATTCCGGTCTTAAACATGACTTATTAGCGTAAATTAAGTAATATGCGTGTATTATTTATTATGTATGTTAATGGTTACATGTATGTATTTATTTTTAGGTAAGCGACAATGCCCAGGAGAATCTTTTGCGAAAATTGAAGTTTTCTTGTATTTTGTTTCAATTCTACAGAAATTTAAGATATCTTTATCACCTGGAACAAAGCCAAATTTCGACGGCGATTTAGGGATTGGTCTTTGTCCAAAACCGCATGAATTGTGTTTGACCAAGCGGAATTGATTGTACAGTTATATTTGAACACTTGAAATTTGTTTTTGTGTGAAATAGGGTTTTAATTTTTTCATATGTTATTTTACTTCACTCATTTTCATCTTCCTTAATAAAAAATGTTTTCATTTTAATAAGTTCGATGTTTTCTTTCTTACATTTTTATTGAGTTACATGTATCCTTAATTCAAATTTATGCAATTTTAATGTAGTAGCATAATATCAATCGTATAGAACCAATGAATTAATCCTTCTTAAATTTGATTACCTGAAAACATGGTTTAAAATTTCAGTCTCGAGCTGGTTCAAACTGATGACAAAGTTTTCATAAACTTTTTTATTGCTTTTAAACAAAAATTGGCACAGTTATTAAGAATAAAAAATTTAAAGTTTATTAATTAATTACGATAAAAAGGTTTTAATGTCTAATTTTCTTATTTAGGCATCGAAGGCTGAATAGTTAGTTAGACCGCAAAATTTGGCCTTTATCCGACATATATCTCGGAAAGACTCGGGCTTTAAGAAATCCTATGTATCTCAGGCAGGTTCGGATTAAAATTCTTCGGACTCAGGTCAGCGGCCATGGTTTTTCAGGCCACGGTTTTTAAAAATTCCGATAGATTTCATACACTATAGAAACACTGATACACTATAGAAACACTAGATTTATACACTGGTGTCTGCCCACCAGTTACGAACCATAGTTAGGAAATTTAAAACATTGTGAGAATTGCTAAGCTACTAGGTAAATAAAACGTTTCCGAAATTTTTTTTTCTTTCTTTAATGGCGGGCACTTGGGGTTTGTCCCATTGGCCACAGAAATGAGAGAACTGCTACTCTCTTCTCGTTACCCAATGGGCACCTGTGGCGAAACCACGGCGGTGGAGCAGCGTCGCCCACGTCACACAACCACAAACCCGTTTATAGGGCAGGTCACATTCACACAAAGAGGAAAGGACATAGAACACAGAGAGAGAAAGAAACTTCCATGCCCTGAGCAGGATTCGAACCCGCGGATAATGGCTCCGCATTCAGACACGCTAACCACTCCTGAAAATAGAGTTATAGTTCTGCAATAAAAAAAGAGAAGAAAACAGGACTACATTCATACTTTTTACACCATGTTTATTCCCAAATAAACAGAAAAAGTAAAGCATTTACTGCTGGAAAAACATCACTATATATATATATAGAGAGAGAAAATATTAGCAATGAACATTGAGTTTGCAGTTCTTGTAAGAGGTCCCACTCTTATGAAATCATTCCAAAAAAGAATAAAAGTCAGTAGGTGGAGCTCTCTATTTTTTCATTTAAAAACTCAACTCCAATATCTGTACATTCAAATTCTTTAGTCAAACTCTATTTTAATTTGCAGTATCTAATGGTGCATGGTTTGGTGGTTAATTTGAGAGAAATTTCAATGGAGTTATTTTTCATACATTTGCAATAAAGCAATGAAGTGCGAGCTAATTTTTATTAATTTTTTTTAAAAAAAAAAAGACATTGCTAATTTTTTGCTCAAACTCAGTCGCACATTTTTCTTCATTCAGTAAAATTGTTAAGATGTACTTAAGCATATGTGTTATCAGCGCTAATCAAAATTGAAGTACTAGTTAAATATATTTCAGTGTTAATGATATCATGTGCAAATGACGAAACATTACATTTATGTATATAATATTATTTAAATAAAATAACATTTAATTATCTCTATTGTCTGATTACTATTATTTAACTATTTATCCAGTGACATCCAAACTTTTTCAATCATTATATATACCTCTAAGTATCTGGCAATGTTTTAAAAGAATGTGGCATTATAAATGGAAATACAATTATATGTGTATTTCTTCATGGTGCTTTTAATAGAAAGCCTTTATGATCCTGAATTTGGGAATTTCTGTTTTGATCTATATTTAATTGTTTTGGAAGTGATTTTCATCACAGGATAATTGGAAAATCCGGCTCTTTGTAAACTGCTAACATCACTTTTCAATGAGTTTCCAAGTTTCATTGTAATAAACCTTACAAATGCCGTCTGCAGTGTACAAAAAGTCAGATTTTACTAATTAACCTACAACACGGATACTCATTTTTACTCTTTTAGAGCAGTGGCCCCCAACCCTCTGGCCGCAAACATTACATATTTTGATGAAAGGATCAAATGTGACCGGGCTGCCCTAGGAAAAATAATTTTTCTCTTCATTTTAATTGCAATGGTGTATCTCTGGTTTGTCCGACTTTCTAAAGACGAGTGATTAACTGGGAGCTGAGATAAAACTTAATCTGAGATAAACTTTAAACTAAGATTTGTCACCTAAAACTGCACCAAAATCACACACGCAATTTTGTTTTGAACTCATGTTTAAAATACAATTATTAAAATTATTAGTTAAAATTATTTTATCAAATTTATCTGAAATATAAACAATTAATGTCCACACCTCCCTTCTGCAAGATGCAGTAAAAATTATCAAACGATAACCATCTGAGATAAAACTTAATCAGAGATAAACTTTAAACTAAGATTTGTCACCTAAAACTGCACCAAAATCACACACGCAATTTTGTTTTGAGGGCATGTTTAAAATACAATTATTAAAATTATTAGTTAAAATTATTTNAATATTTTTTTTCCTTCTTTTTTAAATTTTTTTCTTCTTGTTTCATTATTAATATTTCAGGATGAATTTCTTAATTAATATCTGTGGATTACTTACTTTACATAAGAATTATAAGCGAAGTACTTGGAATAATGTATTGCAAATGTTACTACCTGGAAAAGTGTCGAAGACTATAAATAAACTTACACTATTTTATTTAAAAGTCAATGATAAGCTAGAATAATTTTTTCATCTTTAAGACTAAGATTAGGCCATTATTCTGTTTTTCAATCTGCTAATTTCAAAGTTGCATAGAAATTTGAAATCGATTCGGGGACAGTAGAAACAACTGAAATTTTAAACTTATATGTAAAACCGTTAAATGTTGGAGAATTACGCGCACTGCTCAATTCACTCCTATGATAGCCAGAAAATCACTTTCGTTTTGAACTTATTATCCTTATTTCGGTGAAATGTTTTTACTTCTCAGTCATGTTATAAGTATATTTTCCTTATGTTAGAGCCTGTACTTGAAGACATGGTTGGAGCTTTCTTTGGTGCAGGTAGTGAAACAGTACGTCTTACATTGGATTGGCTTACACTGACCATGGCGGCTTTTCCAAATGTTCAAGAAAAAGTAGCAGCAGAAATTGAAAGTGTGATTGGCCGAAACCGTACCCCTTGCTGGAAAGATCACGCAGACATGCCTTACACTGAAGCGACCATAATGGAACTAATGAGATGGCGAACTATTATTCCTATAAACGTTCTGCGATTGTAAGTAACGAATCGAAGATTGGCATATTTGATCAATTTTCAATAACACATAAAATTAGCAATTATCCACTGCTTTTGCAGGCTTTCATTTCATTTGTGTGCCATATTTTATTTTATTTTATTACCGGTGTTGAGCAGCCAAATCGATTCTGAGTTTGCAACTATCAATATTCAACCCAGTATCCTTGTAATTTTAAACCCGACCCAGAAGACAGGAGAAATCCCGGATCAAGCATTGGGAAAAACTGGGTTTCGTGTAGGACTTTTTTGATGGAACTAATCCCATTTGTGTTACATGGAGAGAAAAACCACAAAAGCGGCCCACTGTTTTGCATTCTGAACAATTAACCGTCTACCACGGATGACATTGTACGTCTGTGCAATGGTCGATGAGAGCCGGGAGAAGAATTCGTATGAACCTTCCACCGATGGGATTCGAACCTGGGGTACCTGATTGGAAGTTAAACACTTTATCCCCTCGAGCCATCGCGGCTCTATGCGTTTTTTTTTGTAAAAATGGTTATCATACTAATTAATTTTTCCTTCACATTAATCAAAATACTATTAGTTTATCGAAACACACACTGCGCAATTATCAGAACTATTTCGGCCAATATTTTGATAAGCCAACTTTACAAGTTGTTCAGGAGAGCGTGCTTGGTGTATACACCATTATTTCTATACAGGTAATGAAATATTTTACGTATTTTGTGGATATTTAAGGAAAATCCAGGAAGATTATTGAATAAACATCTACAATGCTATAGAATATTTGATGCAAAATGCTATCTTTAGAAAAAGTATAGCTTTCCGCTATATTGCACAAGGACCTAAATATTCTTATGGGTAGTGCAAATATTAAGAAGCTAGTGAATCATATTAAGAGAAATCTGAAAAACATTCAAAGCTCTGGGTCTTAAAAATATCTTGACAATTCCTTCATTGTTAAATTTCGATTTTATCCTTTAAATCTGAATGTCACATCAAAATGTAAACATGTCTCACAAGCTTCAAAACAATGCGAATTTATATAGGGAGGTAAAATATCAAAACAAAAACATTTGTGAATGAGATACAAAAATTTACAGCAATGAGAAACTAAGCCAAAGTAATTATAGCAAGGGAGAAAAGTTCAAATAATCATTAAAATTTAAAATACGGTATGAGCGTAATTAAACTCATAATTTCTTCAGAATAATTTTATCTGATCTCATGTTCATACAATTTTTATTACAATTTATGGAGTAAAAAAAATTTTACCATCTCTTAAAAAGTCAAATTCGGCAGTTATAGTTTTCGTTTTTTTTAATTTTTATTTATTTTTTTTTTTTAAAAATTGCGAAAACTAATCTAATTTATTCCTTTTTCAGTACTTTGACGGATACAGAACTGAATGGTTACTTTATTCCCAAAGAAAGTTTCGTGATCGCCAACTTGTGGGATATTCATCACAACCCTGAATACTGGGGAAAAGATGCAGAAGAATTTCGTGTTGAGAGATTCCTAACGGATGACGGGAAACAAGTGAAAAAATCGGAATATTTCATTCCATTTTCAATTGGTAAGTAGAGCTCTAAAACATCTATTAGACATCCTGCTTAAAGAAAAAAAAAATCTTATTTACTATTTTACCTTTACACATCAAAAATGAGAGAAAAAGATAAAAAGACGTGGCACAGTGTTCCGTCTACTGGAAGATGAGTACGATACTCTTGAATTCGAACTCTTGTTTGTTTAAAGCAACGTTGCTTTTCGTTTTCATTTTTAAAAAAAACTTAGGCCTTACTTCATGATGAGAGTTTGCGCCTGCTTCATAAAAAGCAGTAAAGGGCACGGGATGGAAATTAACTAAACTTACGCAAACTGTTATGAACTGTTTCAATAGTTATGAAAATTGCATATTATTTTTAAAAAAGCTTTATTTCATATGACCAAAAGAATTTTGAAGGATAGCATGAAAAAAAAGAAAGAAAAAAAACGTAAGAAAAATTTTCCTTGTTGTTACAATTTCACATCACCTTAAACTGAATCATATTTCGATTTCAAAACTGTTTTAAAAGCAGCAAAATATTAAAAAAAATTTAAAAAAATGAAGTTTTATTTTCAATTTACCTATTCACACATAATGAACCTGATAAAAGTTATAATTCTCTAAATCTAGTTGTAGAAAATTATAATGAATGGTACAGGATGATAAAACTCATTTGCGTAAAGATAATTTCATTTTAAAATAATTTTTAATAATTATTTATTAATTAATTATTCAAAGATTTCTTAATAGTGTGATATAAGAATAAATAAAATTACCACTTGTTAATATAATTTTAAGTACTAAATTCCGAACTTAAGTTAAATCGGTTGAATAATTTCAAAAATATTCTTTATTATAAAAAACATAATGATTTATTATAAAAAGCATGAATTAAACCTTTCTACATCTAATTTATTTGCGAATTAAATTCATTTTATCTGTTAAAAATTTTATTGGAATTGATGAAAGATATGATGCTTTATCTTTGATTGCGTTAAAAATCGATAGTTGAATTATGCAAAGAAAGTGTACCTTTATACCTTTTTTGCCAAAAACCCCCCCCTATTAAAATTAAATTATTTACTAAGAAACATGAATTATTTTTTATAACCGTCGTTGAACAGCTGACCCAATTTTGAGTCAGCTGTTTACGACTACTAATGTTTGACTCCGTTGTCTTGTAATTTTGAACCAGTCCGGAAGACAAGGATACTCCTGGATCAGTACCCTAATAGATATTTGTTATGGGAACACGGCGGACTTTGTAACTAGACAGATTTAACGTGCATCCGTCACCATTCACACGCGGAGTCTTCGGCCGGCGGGATTGAACCCACGACCTCTTGGACATAGACCTAGTGCCCTACCAACCAGGCTATCCCGGCCTAAAACATGAGTTATTAGCGTAAATTAAGTATTACGCGTGTATTATTTATTATGTATGTTAATGGATACATGTATTTATTTATTTTTAGGGAAGCGGCAATGCCCAGGAGAATCTTTTGCGAAAATTGAAGTTTTCTTGTATTTTGTTTCAATTCTACAGAAATTCAAGATCTCTTTACCACCTGGAACAAAGCCAAATTTTGACGGAGATTTAGGGATTGGTCTTTGTCCAAAGCCGCATGAATTGTGTTTGACCAAACGGAATTGACTGTACAGTTATACTTGAACACTTGAAATTTGTTTTTGTGTGAAATAGAGTTTTAATTTTTTCATATGTTATTTTACTTCACTCATTTTCATCTTCCTTAATAAAAAATGTTTTCATTTTACTAAGTTCGAGGTTTTCTTTTTTGCATTTTTATTGAGTTACATATATCCTAAATTCAAATTCATGCAATTTTAGTATAGTAGTATAATATCATATCGTATAAAACCAATGAATTAATCCCTCTTAAATTTATCTGAAAACATGGTTTAAAATTTCAGGCTCGAGCTGGTTCAAACTGATGACAAAGTTTTTATAAACTTTTTTATTGCTTTCAAAAAAAAAATTAGTCCAGTTATTAAGAATAAAAAATTTAAAATTTATTAATTAATTGTGATAAAAAGGTTTTAATGTCTAAATTTCTTGTTTAGGCATCGAAGGCCTAACAGTTAGACCGCAAAATTTGGTCTTTATCCGACATATATCTCGGAAAGACTCGGGCTTTAAGAAATCCTATGTATCTCAGGCACGGGTGGGCTCGGATTAAAATTCTTCGGACTCAGGCCAGCGGCCACGGTTTTTCAGGTCACGGCTTTTAAAAATTCCGATAGATTTCATACTCTATAGAAAATTCGACACAATTATTCAATAGTTTTATAGTTTTTTTTTTAGCCACTTTTGGTAGTTATTGCTTTAGATTCAGGTATGTTTGTGCTCCGAAAAAAATCCGGATTTCTAGATTTTTTACTACTTGTGATTCGTAAATCGACGATGGAAAAGTTTTAGGAAATCATCGATTACATTTATGTATAAAAATTCTTGTATATTTTATTTCGAAATATTAGAACTGGAATTTATACTTGGCGTATTTTTCATTTGGTAATATTTTTTTCTGGTAGAACTATAAACGTGATTAGAGATAAAGGTAAACTTATGTATAATTATTCACTTTATAAGGACATTAATTTTTTGAAATGCGTCATTAATGAATTTACTCAAGAAATTTTCAGGATTTTTGAGTTGGGCTCGCAATCACCCCTGCATAGTTATTAAAACCCAGTATTTTTAATATTATTTCAATAAACAACAAGCGAATATCGAAACACACACTTCAGTATTTCCACTTCTAAGAGTTCAATTTGTTTAATTTAGCTTTAAGTCGACGCGATTTTGTCATTGATTTTTTTTTTAACTTATTGCTACGGATTTCGTAATTTATCTATATTGTTTTAATGTGATGACGACTTTCAAAAGGCAAAAAAGGAACTAATTAGTGTCTTCTCTTTCAAAATGTGAGAATAGTGCTCTTAATAAATATACATTCTTTATATGTCGATGGAAAAAATCATTGCATTCACAATTCAAAAATTTATACATAGTTTTATTCCATATGTTAATTTTTTTTTAAATAATCACAAAGCACTTCCGTTATAATGTGTTTCAGAACAAATATTTCAATGCAGGTATAATTTGTACACTGTGTAACAAAGACATTATTTCAACGGTCACGCTTAGCTTTGAGGTAGATGATAATACTTCATTTTGAAGAGGACAATTAATTGCTCCGTTTTATATTATATGTCTGTTGTTTGTATGAGTTTTAAGTGTTTTTACTTAAAAGGACTACATATTTTGAGGAAATCTCAATATGATGTTATTGATGGAGCTTGTTTGGAGAAATTTTTGCACATTATTTCAAAATTTTTATAAAAATTTATCTAGCAGACTCATACAGTCTTTAAACTGTTGTTTTTGCATGTGTTAGATAATGCAAACACTTTAATAATATTGGCTATGAAAAGGAAATGTTTTCCTAAAACTGCTTGTAGATAGTTAAATTTATAGATATAAATGGAATACTTATAAAATGGCTACGTACAATTAGATAATATGCTATTTAAATTAAATTAGATTGCTGAATATGCCGCAAATATTAAATGATATTTATGAACATCGCATTGTACTTAATTTTATTTTGTTTTATGTCTCGATTTATAAGAATTTTACTAATCAGTGAAATTTTACTGATTTTCAAGCTTTTTTTTATAAGATAAAAGACATATAGATTTTATTCGTGTTTTTTTGACATATTCTGTAAATGATTTAAATTGGCCTTTTTCATATTCTTATAAAAATATTTTTTTAAACCGAATGAGTTCAGTAGATCACTAAAATATCACATGTCCTCTGAAACACACATTGATGACCCCTACACTTACTAAAAAATTTGTTCAGTTTAACATATGTATGTGAAATACAAGTAATGAAGGACAATATTAACAAATGGATAATATTGTAAACGTAGTTGATAGTCATATGTTAACTTAAATAGGATAGTTACGGATAGCTTAATTTTGCTCGATTTGCAAATAATACTACAGCTGCCTGAGGTCGGCCCACCAGTTACGAACCATAGTTATGAAATTTAAAACATTGTAAGAAGTGCTAAGTTACTAGGTAAATAAAACGCTCCTGAAAATAGAGTTACAGTTCTGCAATAATAAAAGAGAAGAAAACAGGACTGTACTCATACTTTTTACACCATGTTTATTCCCAAATAAACAGAAAAAATAAAGCATTTACTGCTGGAAAAACATCACTATATATATAGAAAATATTAGAAATGAACATTGAGTTGGAGGTTCTTGTAAAAGTTTCTACTCTAATCATGAAATCATTCCAAAAAACCAGTGAAGAATAAAAGGCAGTAGGTGGAGCTCTCTATTTTTTCATTTGAAAACTCAACTCCAATAACTGTTCATTCAAATTCTTCAGTCACACTCTATTTTAATTTGCAATATCTAATGGTGTATGGTTTGGTGGTTAATTTGAGAGAAATTTCAATGGAGTTATTTTTCATCCATTTGTAATAATACAATGATGTGGGAGCTAATTTTTATTAATTTATTTATTAAAAGAAAGATGATATATAATATTTTGCTCAATATTTTGCTAATATTTTGCTCAAACTCTGTCGCACATTTTTCTTCATTCAGTAAAATTGCTAAGATGTACTTGAGCATATGTGTTATCAGCGCTAATCAAAATTGAAGTAATATTACAGTGTTAATGATATCATGTGCAAATGACGAAACATTACATTATATGTATATAATATTATTTAAATAAAATAACATTTAATTATCCCTATTGTCTGATTACTATTATTTAACTATTTATCCAGTGACATCCAAACTTTTTCAATCATTATATATACCTCTAAGTATCTGGCAATGTTTTAAAAGAATGTGGTATTATAAATGGAAATAGATTTATATGTGTATTTCTTCGTGGTGCTTCTAATAGAAGGCTTTTATGATCCTGAATTTGGGAATTTCTGTTTTGATCTATATTTAATTGTTTTGGAAGTGATTTTCATCACAGGATAATTGGAAAATCCGGCTCTTTGTAAACTGCTAACATCACTTTTCAATGAGTTTCCAAGTTTCATTGTAATAAACCTTACAAATGCCGTCTGCAGTGCACAAAAAGTCAGATTTTACTAATTAACATACAACACGGATACTCATTTTTACTCTTTTAGAGCAGTGGCCCCCAACCCTCTGGCCGCAAATATTACATATTTTGATGAAAGGATCAAATGTGACCGGGCTGCCCTAGGAAAAATAATTTTTCTCTTCATTTTAATTGCAATGGTGTATCTCTGGTTTGTCCGACTTTCTAAAGACGAGTGATTAACTGGGAGCTGAGATAAAACTTAATCTGAGATAAACTTTAAACTAAGATTTGTCACCTAAAACTGCACCAAAATCACACACGCAATTTTGTTTTGAACTCATGTTTAAAATACAATTATTAAAATTATTAGTTAAAATTATTTTATCAAATTTATCTGAAATATAAACAATTAATGTCCACACCTCCCTTCTGCAAGATGCAGTAAAAATTATCAAACGATAACCATCTGAGATAAAAGGGTCAGAGATAAACTTTAAACTAAGATTTGTCACCTAAAACTGCACCAAAATCACACACGCAATTTTGTTTTGAGGGCATGTTTAAAATACAATTATTAAAATTATTAGTTAAAATTATTTTATCAAATTTATCTGAAATATAAACAATCAATGTCCGCATCTCCTTTCAGCAAGATGCAGTAAAAATTATCAAACGATAACCAGTCAGTGACCGTAAAAAGGTTGTGGAGCTCTGCTTTAGAAGATTTGTTTTCAAATAGATACACCCTAGTGACCTTTACTTGTTCAGTCACTTGTATTCTATTTTCAGTTCTTAAACCTTTTTTGTCTCTTACATATTAATTAACTTTTTTTATCTCGAGTTTCGCCCAGTACAGCCGCCACAGCGCCTCAGAATTATAATGTTTTCCGATCGCCACAACACTTCCCATCCAGAAGCTGTGCTGAAAAAAAAGAAAAAAAGAATCGAACCGGCCCTTGAAAATTTGTACACCAGGTGGAAAAGGGTTATTGATAACAAGGGTGATTGCAACATTGAATAACACCATATTAAAAAAAAGTGTTAAAATTCGTATGAGGCCTGCAACTGCTGCTCTAGTAGCCCTCCATAAGTTCGACCTGAAAAAGAGATCCATTATTATCATGAGTTTCAAAAGCAAGACGTCCCGCAGTGGACTGATCGTTAAGACACGGTTCCCAGCAGATCACCGAAGTCAAGCATCACTGACTACTGTCAGTGTGTGGGTGGGTGACCACTTGGATCAGTCTGCGTAGGGACCGAGGGTATGCGGTATGGGTCTCGTTAAACTGTTCTACCGTAAAGTGCTCGACTTGCTCGTGCATAGGTCGTTGGGCTACCGAACCGGGGGTGCCATCCCCTCTGCAGAGGATCAAAATTGCGATGGCATGTCTTCGGATCATCCTCAGGGATGTTTCCCAGATCGTCACCAATAGCCCATTGTGCAGCTCAAGTGCGACGTAAATGAACAACAGCAACAACAAAAGCAAGACAATCTAATTAAAAAAAAAGATTTTGCCAAGCTTGAAGCTACATGGCTATAACAGCAGCATTTATTACATGTNCCAATAGCCCATCGTGCAGCTCTAGTGCGACGTAAATGAACAACAGCAACAACAAAAGCAAGACAATCTAATTAAAAAAAAAGATTTTGCCAAGCTTGAAGCT